TCGTAGTCTGTCAGATAGTGAGAAGTCAGGTGGCGAGAGGGTGAGGGAGAGATGGTGGACTTAGAGGAGGAAGAAGAATAACTCTCTCTCTCTCTCTTGTGCCAAGTACTAACCTTTGAAGGTGGCGCCTTGATGCAGGTACATCGAAGACGAAGCTGGAGCTATGGCGCCACAGGTACGTCTCCCTGGCCTCCGCCACCTCTCTCGCTCTTAACGCTACCCTGAGCTCCTAGCAGCGCCCAGCGCTGAAGACTACTCCTAACGCTAGCTACTACTACTGCAGCACTCCTGCAGAGTGCTGCGGCCGAATCCTGAAGACTGCCTCCTGCACTGCCCGTGAAGTGCCCGTGAACTGCCTGCAGCCTGCAGGGTGGACCAGTACTATATAGTGCTGGTCCGGCTGGGAGGCTGCTCTTGCCCATGCCGAATCGTGCCAGACCCTGGCGTTGAAGTTCAAACAAAGGTTGTCTTGAAACGGGCCTAAAAATGGCCTGCGCTTAACCCTGGTCTGGCGCCTAAGTTTCAGGACAGGTCCACTTTATGGCCCTCCTTTTTAGGCTTTTAGGCTGAAACGGCACAAGGCCTAGAGGGCCCTTATTTTTCGTCTGGTCGGGCCCTGCAGGCCCATGTGGATGCTCAGTATGCCACACCCCCCCCTTCCTTGAAAGACCGAGCTTACCTGCGAGGGCGAAGCTGCCTGTCGGAGAGACGGACCAAAGTCCAGGTGGGAGGTGCAGGTCGTGAAGCTTCCTTAGCTAGTCTTTGTCGTTCGTAGTGAGCGTAGATCAGCGGTGCAAATGCTTGCAAATTTGGTGGTGAAATGCATCGAGTGTCGTCGGGGTCGCATGGTTTGCAGGTAACTTTGTACTGTCGAGGCTTGTTGTCGTACTTGCGATCCGTGATGACGCGGTCGACTTCCTGATGACCATCCATAGATGGAGGGTCTTGCGATCGTCGGCCCTGGAAATCGTCGCTCTTAGCTGGTGTGTATGTCGCCAGCTTCGAGGCATGAAAGACTGGATGGACCGGCAAATGCGGAGGGATGTCGATCACAAAGGATGGGCCATCGGGCTCGTCGCCTGCGGCTGAAAGGACGGCCCATGGTCCAAACCACTTGGGGAGTAGTTTGCGTGAAACATCCTGTTCGAGCACAAACTCTTTCGCGGAGACGCAAACCAGATCACTGGCGCGGATGGGACATGGCACACGACGCCTGTTGGCTTGCTGCTGCATGCGGACTTGAGCCTTTTGCATGTTCGCACGGGCTTGAGTCAACAATTCCCTGTACTTCCGGACAGAGGCGGGAGAGCAAGCGACGTTTCTGTCGGCAGTTCGTGGGAGGAGAAGATCAGCGAAGATACGACCTTTCCGGCCACCGTGGTGCAACTCGAATGGAGTCACGCCGATCGTCGGATGCAACGAAGTGTTGTAGGCGAACTCGATGTCAGGGAGGCAGTCAACCCAATCCTTCTCATCCAGAAGGATGAGCGTACATCATTTGAGCGGTTTGATGTGCCAGCTCCGTTTGCCCGTCCGTTTGTGGATGCCGAGCCGAACTTGGTTTCATTTTGGTGTCGGATGCCTGCATGAGAGAAGTCCAGAATGCCGACATGAAACGAGTGTCACGGTCGCTAACGATGTCTTCCGGTACACCGTGGCTGCAAAATCCAGCCGGTGTGCAAGAGGCGTGCAAGTTCGGGAGTCGTGGCGTAGTACTTGCAAGGGAAAAATCGCGCGTATTTACTCAATCGGTCAACGACCGTGAGGATGTCGTCGTGCCCGAAGCAGTCACGGGGAAACGGGCCGGTGACGTCCATGACAATCGAGAGGTCGCGCTCCGGTGAGATAGGCAACGGGCGCAACTCGCCGTAGGGATTGCGGTTGAGGGGCTTGCTTCGTCGACAAACTTCGCAAGAGTCGCAATACCGAGTGACATCGGTAATGAGGTCGGGCCACCAGAATCATTGTCGAAGTCATGCGATATTCCGATTGACTCCGAAATGGCCGGCGAGTCGCGAGTTGTGGTACTCACCGAGAAGGCGAGTCTGAAGACGACGCTCTCGTGGGATACACAATAAGTCCTTGCCTCGCGAGTGGAGGAGCAAGTACCCGTCGACGATGCGATAGTGGCTGGCCGACGGGTGATCCGAAGATAACTGCGCATAGAGTGTGGCGTAATCCGGATCAGACTCATAGCCCCGGATGGAGTGTCGCTGGAGTTCCTCGTCGAACGCGAAGGCATGATGTGTCATAGCGCAAAGATCGGGTCTTCGTGAGAGTGCATCTACTGCGCGATTGGAGAGGCCGACGCGATGTTTCCATGTGAAGTCAAATTGGTCGATGAAGTACATCCATCGTCCGATCGTGCTGCTCACCGTATCTTGCGTCTTGTAGTAGGTCAACAGGTTGTTATCTGTGACCCATGTGAACCTACGACACCCAAGGAGGAAGTGTCGCCATCTCTTGAGAGCCATCACGAATGCGAGCAGCTCCTTCTTCCTTACATTATCAAGTGAGTTGATGGGAGCCTGGGAGGCACCTAGTGGCTGAAATACTCCATGGGGTGTCTGTCGTTGCCATCGTGTTGTTCCAAGACTGCCCCAATGCCATAGCCGGAAGCGTCAGTCGTCAGTCTCGTTGGCAAGGTGGAGTTGTAGATGCTAAGGACGGGTGTCATGAGCATGGTCGTCTTGAGTGCTTGGAATAACCGGCGCGTTTCATCGTCGAATACGAATGGCACCTTTGGCGATTGTAATCTCGTCAATGGTGCGACAATCCTTGAGTTCCCGGTGATGAAGAGTTGATAGTAGCCTGCCAAACCATGAATGAGCGAACGTCCGTGGTGTTGGTGGGCTCGAGCCATACGCGGATGGCCTCGATTTTGTCTGCGAGAGGACGGATGCCTTGCGGCGTGGCATAATGGCCCAAGTATTCGAGCTCCTGCCGCGCGAATTCACATTTGTCGCGGTTGGCTTTGTACTTGGCTTGTCGTAGCCTCTCCAAAACGGTGCGCAGGTGCTCCACATGCTCGTCCAAACTTCGGCTGTACACCAAGATATCGTCGAGGTAGATGAGTACAAATCTATCCAGCATGTGTCGGAACTCCGTTGTCATAGCCGCTTGGAATGCGGCCGGGGCATTCGTAAGGCCAAAAGGCATAACCAACCATTTGAAATGCCCATATCGCGTCTTAAACGCGGTCTTGCAGCGGTCCTCTTGATGGATCTCGAGTTGGTGATATCCAATTTGAGGTCAAGCTTGGAGAAGAACTTAGCGCCGCCCAACCGTTCGAGAAGGTCGTCGATGCGTGGACGAGGGCCGACATTCTTGATGGTTTGCGCGTTGAGCTTGCGATAATCGATGCACAACCACAAGTCCTTGTTCTTCTTCCGGATGAAGAGAACGGGGACACTGTATGGCGAAGAGCTAAGCCGAATCCAGCCTTTCTCAAGAAGGTTGTCGAGTTGTGTCCATAACACACTTAACTCTTCCTCGCTCATGCGGTAGATGCAACCACGCGAAGATATGCAAGTAATCCCGCAATTGTGCCATAAGCACGTTGCAATGCGGTTTCGGCAATGGACCGGTCGGGGGAAGGGGCATCCATTCTAAGTCCGCGAACGTCAACGGGTCGAGTCTCTCAAGTCTTGACCATGACGTCGAATCCCCGACGAAAGTTGGCGGCGAAGCTGCCGAATCGGTTGCCGATGCTAGTGAAACCGTGCATGCGGTGTATTGTTGCACGTGGAGTGGCTGGTCCAACGGTGGGACCAAGTGGACAGCGTAATCCTCGTAAGTGAACCAAGGACTCGCGGCATCCGCATTCTCCCCAGATGTGTAGGAGGCTGGAGTGAGAGGTGGAGTCGCCTCACCTCCCGTGCAACTCAGTTTCCCGAGCTGATTCGTCGTATCGGCTGCAGTACTTGTGGAGCCATCTACCTCGAGGAAATCTTGGTGTACTTGACCCATGGTACTGGTTGTCCATTTCCTCGAGTTGAACTTGACCCATGGTACGAGTTGTCCATTTCCGGCCGGCGATGCCGTTTTCGCCTTCCCTTTTCCACGGGAGTTGTTTTTGCTTTCCGGCTGGACAGCGGGCACCTGATCTCCCTCACGTGATGTTGGGGTGGCTGTCGGGTCTTCCACAATGTTGTTCGGTTGGACTGCAGCGACGGGCTGCAGACGAGGACCAAATTTTCCTTTCTCCACATGGGCTGGCTGCCACGTTGCCTTCTCGTGTGCAGCAGCCCGGTTGGTCTTGATGATCTCACAAGCCTTGTCGATGATTTCGGCGACGGTCGTGTATTGTTCTCGATCACCGAGTGTGAGGCTCAAGGCGGCATACGACGAGTTGTAGAACTCCCAACGCAGATGCGAAAATGACAGCTCGAGATCGGGTGTTCCCACTATCTTTTGCCATTTTGTGAGCCAATCGCGTGTCAGTGTGTTGCCTTGAGCCATGGCGAAGAGGCGGTTGATGGCGAGCGTCGGGGCATCGTCCACAATGAACCGCTTGTTCCATTCCTTCATCATATCGTCCCAGGAGACCTTCTTGTGCAGGTCGGAGACCTGGACGCCGTGGATGGTTGCCATGTGGCTGAGTCAGATCTTGCATCCGCCCTTGACATTGAGGAACAACGCTGAGATGTACAAGTGATTGGGGACCTCATGAATCCCAATCTCCGTTGTAAAGCCTTGCCACCAGACGACTGGGTACTAATGCGTATAGTCATCAAACTTCTTGATCCGGAACGTCGGTATCTTGTATGGCCGCGATGCACTGATGCTGCCATCGCTGTCGGGCGACTGGTGTAGTTGTCGAACCTCGGTCTTCAAGGTGTCGAGCTGCTCGCTGATGGTGGCTGGTGCGGCCAAGGTGCTGATGTCGCCAAGCATTGCGACTACATGGTCAACTTGTTGCTCCAACAGGTGGGTTGAGGCTTCATTGTTGGGTTCGCCAGAATCTGGTCCTCGTGCTGCTTGCCCCAAGTCCTGTACACGGGAATGGAGTGCCCGTATAGCATCCTCGTGCAGATCCTTGTGGTTCCGCACTGCCCGTCGGAGATTCGCAAGTTCCTGGTGTTGTTTCTCTAACTCAAACTGCAGGTGGTTACAAGTGTAAACCAACCGGGTCATGAGTTTGGAGAGAAACTCCTTGTGCTGCTCTTCCGGTGTCGCGTCGTCGTGGTCTTCGGATGGTTCAAAATGCCAGAACTTGAGCCTGTCGCCGCTGGCGGCTTCGTGCCGCTGCAGCAGATCCTGGGCCTCCTTGCGGCAGGCCTGGGCATCTGCGTCAGTTGCGGCCCGAAGCCGCTACTTTTCAGTTGTTGCCTCCGCTTCAGCCTGTGGGCGGGCAGCCTCTGCTGCCACCTGGCGCTGTTCCTCAGCCTCGATCAGTGCGAGCTGAGCTTGGAACCGTTGTCGGCACGTGGCAATGGACTCATTGGCCAGTTGGCCTGGCATGCCCAAAACTGAAACCGTCATGGTGGCGAGGCACTGCTGACGTGGCACCGCTTGCTGACGTGGCACTGTTGCTGATGTGGCACTGCTGATGTCGTGGCACTGCTGATGTGCCACTGCTGACGTGGCACTTACCAAACCGGGAATGCAGACAAAGGGCTGGGTGGGAGGGAAACGCAGGAAGGTAACCAAACTGCACTTTCCATTCCCACTCCTAATCAACATAATAAAAATAAAAGAAAAAAATAAAAGAAGAGGATCACCCCCCCTTTTTTTTTTCTTTTTTTTTTTCTTTTTTCTGAATATCTGTCGATCTGCTATCAGTGAGGCATTACGGAGGAGTGCTATGAACGAGATCTAGGCAAGGTTTTGCAAAGTTTCGGCTTTCAAAAAAAATTCAATCTTGAAAAAAAAAAATTGCGCGAAATAGAATGGAGGTTCCACTTTCAGAGAAGAATAGATCCAATCCGAGAATATGACAACCTCCCTAGTTCACCTAATATGCCCAGAGTGAGACAAAAAAACGAAATGCTAATATCCGAAGTTGCGAAAAAAAAAATAAAAAAAATTGCAGAGATTTGACGAAGCCCTACTTGATTCAATAATAATCAATCAATCAATCAATCAATCAATCAGTCGATCAAGCAAGCTGGCCCCTTGATTGGGCGGATCCTCTGATTGAGAGGTCCGCTCCAATACCAAACTGTTGCACACCGTAATGGTACAGACCAGAACAAGAACCAACTTCTCTGACATAGTACAGGATAGCGCAGCGGAAGGCTAAAATACCAATGATCAGACCAATCAATGTCGCAATGCAGACCAAACATACATCATCATCATCGCAAGGTGTGAAGGGGCCTGGCGCTACACACAGGAAGAATGCGCCAGGCTCCGATCATACACAGATGAAGAGGGGGATCAGACGAAGAGGAAGGGAAAGATGAGGATGTCGTCAACACCAAGTCTTCGATATAGATCCCAAATAATCCCCATCCAATGTCGCTGTCACCATGTCAAGTCGGAATCCAAATGTCGTCAAATCCCAAGTCACAAATCTCTCTCTCTCTCTCTCTCTCTCTCTCTCTCTCTCTCTCTCTCTCTCTCTCTCTCTCTCTCTCTCACTCTCTAACTTGTAGTCTGTCACATAGCGAGAAGTCAGGTGGCGAGAGGGTGAGGGAGAGATAGTGGACTTAGAGGAGGAAGAACTCTCTCTCTCTCTCTCTTGTGCCAATCACTAACCCGTGAAGGTGGTGCCTTGTTGCAGGTACATCGAAGACGAAGCTGGAGCTATGGCGCCACAGGTACGTCTCCCTGGCCTCCGCCACCTCTCTCTCTCTCTCAACGCTACCCTGAGCTCCTAGCAGCGCCCAGCACTGAAGACTACTCCTAACGCTAGCTACTACTACTGCAGCGCTCCTGCAGAGTGCTGCGGCCGAATCCTGAAGACTGCCTCCTGCAATGCCCGTGAAGTGCCTGTGAAGTGCCTGCAGCATGCAGGGCGGACCAGTACTATATAGTGCTGGTCCGGCTGGGAGGCGGCTCTTGCCCATGCCGAATCGTGCCAGACCCTGGCGTTGAAGTTCAAACATAGGTTGTCCTGAAACGGGCCTAAAAATGGCCTCCGCTTAACCCTGGTCTGCCGCTTAATTTTCCGAACAGGTCGAGTTTTTTTTTCTTTTTTTCTTTTTCTTTTTTTTTTGGCCGAACTAAGAAATATACAACTACTCAAATCCTTCAGCCCGTGAATATCTAAATACATTTTGAACATTCTATCTGCTCACGGCCCTGGGCTAAACTCAAAGATGAACGACCTTTGCTCATTCTGATGAACGTTAACCCAAACATGTCTGCAGTACAAAGGAAGCCTGAACTACCTTGACGGGTTTCCCACCACGCACCCTTGGATCTTCGATAAGATCTATGGTCAGTCGAACCAAGATCACCATGGATACAGTTCGAGTTTGCTTCCTATCCTAACGATACCAACTGCAAGGAATAGTACTCCCACCACCAACGGTGGCACTCACACTGCCTCCGTAGTGCCGCTACCCATGAAATTGTATATAAAGCTTTAATGATCCAATAGAACTGCAGCACCTATATGCAATCCCTAGAATACCAACCAAGTCTACACTTAGAAAACAGCAGATCCAAAACGAATATGTGACAGCTAGTTTATCCCCGGAACGATAACCCCATCCAAAACTGCAAAGAGCCTGAGTTGCCATCACGGGTTTCCCACCACGCACCCTTGGATCTTTGTGAATAGAGCAATCACAATGGGTACAACTCAAGTTTGCTCTTCACCGGTTCTCTCCTACCACCTAACCAGCAGCGTTCCCCACCGCCACCATTACACTCTCACTGCTCGTGGTAGCGCCGCTGCTGATATCTCCAAGGGATTCACCCTGAACCACCCTGGAACAGGCCCTACATTCTTCATCGTAATGTGCAAATACAGTCAGACAGAACTAAGAAAACGTATGGGAGTAGTTCTTGCAAACATAAAAACACGCATTTATACCAAGATTTAAACGATAAGCAGTGAGCCTAAAGGCTGTCTAAAGATCTCAGGATATCTCCAGTAACGAGATATGACAAGCCCAGAATCCAGCGTACTGTTGGGGCCAGGTACATTCCAGTGAGAAAGCATTCCACAGATCCCAGGATCTCTCCTTGAACATTGCTAAGGCTCTTCTTGGCTGAAATCAGCCATCCGTCCTCGCCCGACAACCTGAGAGAGCATCAACGGAACTTTTGCATCAGCCCTTGGTTGCTGCTAGATACACCGTGCGGAGCAAGGCTTGATCGTGAGTAAAATCAAATTCCATAAAATGCCAACGACTGTGAAAGACACCCAAATGGAACGCATCAAAACTTAAAACATGGAGCAGAGATAAGCGAGTAAACTAAACGTGAAAACTACACTTGAAACACAAGTGTGTGCTCAAGTAGGAACTAGAGGAGAGTGTGAACTAACCAAATATCTACGGTTAGAGACATGCAGAAGCCTTCCGAATATAAATCAAGTAAGATGTAATTGTAGGTAGATAAAGCCCCATTTCAATCATGAAGATAGTAAAAAACTGTACCTATCTCACAAATGGCACCAAGTACAGATACTGAAAAACTAAAATATCCCATGAGCAAACCAAGGTAGAAAATGACAAGGGAACCTGTTGGCAGAGGACCCTGGTTACGCTATCGAGATAGCTTGAACTCTAACTCTGAAGATTCTACCCACTTTCCAGCCCAATTCAGGTGGTCAGATTTTGAGATCTGTTCCAATTACAAGCAAGTCCTCCAAAACACAGCACCTGATACCTCCTAGACCCGTTAGATATTGCCATTCCACCGGAAATATGTGAAAACCCTCGGTGTTGACGTGAAGCAACATTAAAAACTAATATAAACAATCCTCTACAATGTCAGATTCTCATCCAATCCAAGGACCCGACTAAAAACGTGAGGCTAACTAGAGGGATCTAGCCCAGAACGGTGATTATAAGCATGTAAATGAGTGTTTCCAGCCCACGAATCTCCCGATGAATCCTCCTTGGAAAGAGGGCTGAGCAAAGGTAAGAGATGTGGCACACCAGTATGGCTAGATCCAAAGTAAAGCACGTTGTCTCCTTAGTATTGTCAACAGCACTCCCACCGCCATCACGAGCTCTCCCACTGCTCCCGCTGACGCTGCTGCCAACCTTCATGTAGTAGAACCCAATCTTGTGTGGGCACACACCGCCAACGAAACGTTCCATCTTCCGAGCTCATGACAGTCTTCTCCGGCTGACAGCATCTCCCTGTCCCTGCCCCTTGATCTTCTCAAGGGGAAACGCACTACTAAACATACCACGTGGAAGCAGAGATACTTCGAACGATTTCCACTTAGCTAGTTCATAGCTCTCACATCGGCGGCCTCTGGCTGCTAACTCCCGAGGTGTAGCCTCGGTAATTCCGATATCACCATTTGCTCCCCTGCGTTAGCGCTGCCTTAGCGCACATTAGCGCACATTAGCACACATTAGCGCACTAAGGAGGGACATATTGACTTTATGAGGGTCTGAAAATGGCCCTCCTTTTTAGGCTTTTACGCTGAAACGACAGAGGGCCTGGAGGGCCCTTATTTTCTGTCTGGTCGGGCCCTGCAGGCCCGTGTGGATGCGCAGTATGCCACATTCACCGTCCTCCTCCCGCTCGTCGTTTTGTCCCTCCTGCTCCC